CATGTAAATCTCTTGCCCTTTCCTTCAGCCTTGTCCCTCTGTGGCTTTTACAGAGAACTCTTTTCTGGGCGTCTGCACTTCCACCTTTATGTCTTCCCTCTGACCTGTCAAATCCAGAACTCCATCCTCTCTTCACTCCAACTTCTTTTCGCTCCCCAACATTGTCGGCAACCCCCTAGGGTTCGATCTTCACCTGAACGTGCCACTGGGACACCCACCAGCTCCTGGAGTGCAATCCCCCCCTTTGTCTTTCTCTCCCACACTCCCGTTTCCCTCAGGGGAGATCTTCCAGCCGTCCTCCCCTCCTCTCCAGTTCATTATTATTTTTTCCCTCTGCAACAGTCTTAGATATGACTTGATCGAGTTTGGATGTGTTNCGTGGCCTTGGTGTTATCAGCACCACACTCTCCCAAGTGAGCCATGGGCTGGCCCTAAATGACCAATCTTTAATCGATTCTGATGGTATTGATTTGTTCATTCATGGATGCGTGTAGGCATTCATTAAAGAAATGTTTCTTATGTATGTGCTTTGTGCCAAGCACCGAGTATTCTAGTTCCAACAATGAACAAAAAAGACGCAGTCCCTGCCCTTGAAGAGTTTATAGGCTAGCGGGAGCCGCAGGTAAACAAGCAATCCAAATGCAGCCCAATGAGAGCCGAAATGCGAAATGAGAGGACAGGACTGTGGGGCACGCGGGAGGGTTCCTGACCCCATCCTGGAGAGACAGGAGACTTCCTGGAGGGAAGTGGCATCTAAGCTTCCACATAAAGGATACATCAGAGGGACCGCGTTCTTGGCACAGGGACCAGTGCATACAAAGGCCCAGACATAAGACGGAACTTGCCTCCTTCTGGGAACTGCAAGTTCAGGTCCTGCGTCCAGGCTGGTGCTGGGATGTGCTGAAGCAGCCACGACAGGCCTGCCTCCTCTCCTCTGAGAGTCGGTCCTGGAGTCTTCACACTCTTCTCCCCCTTACCCCGCTCTGCTGCACAAGGCAGCAGATGTTTCTCCTGCTTTCATGTAAATCTCTTGCCCTTTCCTTCAGCCTTGTCCCTCTGTGGCTTTTACAGAGAACTCTCTTTTCTGGGCGTCTGCACTTCCACCTTTATGTCTTCCCTCTGACCTGTCAAATCCAGGACTCCATCCTCTCTTCACTCCAACTTCTTTTCGCTCCCCAACATTGTCGGCAACCCCCTAGGGTTCGATCTTCACCTGAACGCGCCACTGGGACACCCACCAGCTCCTGGAGTGCAATTCCCCCCTTTGTCTTTCTCTCCCACACTCCCGTTTCCCTCAGGGGAGATCTTCCAGCCGTCC